GCCAATTTTCCTTCAGTTTTGAAGCCAACGGTCACCTACCCATCGATGGGTACATGCTTCCCATCGCTGGGTTGGAGGTTGACTTCCAAACATGGAAAGAATCAACCTTAAATGACTTAAAACAGTCATGCCTTCCCATCGTTGGTTAAGCCTTCCCATCGCTGGGTTCCCATCGATGGGTAAAGCTTCCCATCGCTGGGTAAGGGCATTCTGCCTTGTGATAATGTTGGACCAAGGCTTAAACAGCGATGGGTAGAACCTCCCATCGCTGTTTGGCATGGTTCTGGAAGTTGGTTTGGCTAAGGGGCCGCTTACCCATCGATGGGATGTTCTTCCCATCGCTGGGTGGGTGGTTAGCCAAAAACCTATGGTTTTTGCCTTAACCACGGCCTAGCCAACCGATGCAAAAACCGACCGAAAAATCCAAAGTTCTCGAAAATAAAAACCAAGTGTCTAAAACACTTATTTGATGTATTTGGCTAAGAAATCAAATGAGGAACTTTAAAAACCACGTCATTTGAGAAAAAACCACGGTTAGCCAAGTTTATGCCGTTTTGCGTGGTTTTTGCCAAACGACCAAAAACGAAAGGTGGTTTTCAAAGTGTTTTTGCTGGAGAACTGTTTAAACATGCCAAGAAGTAAAAACCAGTCATAAAAAGTTGAAAATCACTTGGTTGGTTCGGACCCAAAAACCAACGCCGATAACCGAAAGCCGAACGCCGGTTTCTGAAACCCGAACGCCGGATGGCTTTGTTTTTGGTTTGGGCAAACACCAAGTGTTTTTGTTAACTTAAAAATGTTTGAAAAACATTTTTATGATGTAAGAAATTCAATGAAAAGATTTTAGCCTAAAGAGCCAAGGTGTAAAGATTGGGTTGGTCTTGATCACAAATGAGACCGACTCAACGACACTAAGACTACGGTCTTCGTTCTTGGTCTTTGTATAGCTCTTGTTCTTATCTTCGTTCTTTGCCTTGTATATTCAATGTCTTATCTTGATCACGGCGGTTTGGCATTATCAAAACCTGTTACAAAACCGAACACGGCTTTAGTACGAAAACGTGACAAGCCCGTGTTTCAACAACTCCGAGATGCTTGTTTTAATCCGTAGATTGAACATTGCAGTTTACAAACTTTGGCAGACTGACCAGCAATTTGAAAGCCGTCAGGCTGTGTCATGAAGACATCCTCTTTGAGGTTCCGATTAAGGAAAGCCGTCTTGACGTCCATCTGCCAAATTTCATAATCGTAATAGGCTGCAATCGCAAGCATTATCCGAATGGATTTCAGCATAACAACTGGAGAAAAGGTTTCATCATAGTCAATTCCGTGGATTTGTCTATAACCTTTTGCTACCAATCTAGCTTTGAAGGTATGAACCTTCCCATCTACGTCTGTCTTCTTTTTGACGACCCACTTGCATCCAATGGGTTTTACCCCTTCGGGTGCATCAACCAAGGTCCAGACTTGGTTTGTGTACATAGACTCCATTTCAGATTTCATGGCTTCGAGCCATAAATCGGATTCGGGGCATGTAATTGCCTCGAGGTAGGTCTCTGGTTCGCCTTGATCTACCAACAAGACGTCACCTTCATCAGACATGAGAAATCCATATCTGACCGGAGGATTACGTATCCGGTCTGACCTACGTGGTATATCTTGAGCAATTTGAGGTTCAATTGCTTGATCTCTTTGCTCAGGTTCCAACACTATCAGGATTTCCTCTTGTGGTTCTCGAATTTCTTCGAGGTCTACCTTTCTCCCACTAGTGATAGCAGAAAGAAACTCCTTCTCAAGGAAGGTTCCATTCCGAACAACGAAAATTTTGTTATCAGATGGATGATAGAATCATACCCTCTAGTTTCCTTGGGGTATCCCACAAAAATTACTTTATCAGATTTAGGCTCCAACTTACTAGCCGTCATGAGACGTTTTACATAAGCTTCACAGCCCCAAATCTTAAAGTACGAGAAACTCGGTTTTCTCCCACGCCATAGTTTGTATGGTGTGCTCTCGACAGCTTTAGATGGAACTCTGTTGAGTGTGTGTGCTGATGTTTTCAATGTATATCCCCTAAATGATTCTGGCAATGTTGTCAGACTAATCATGCTCCGGACCATGTCTAGGAAAGTTCGATTTCTCCTCTCTGACACTCCATTTAACTGAGGTGTCCCCGGAGGAGTGAGTTGGGTTAAGATCCCATGCTCTTTCATATAGTCATCGAACTCCGGGCTTAAGTATTCACCTCCTCGATCCGAGCGGAGGGTCTTAATACTTTTGCCTAATTGTTTTTCTACTTCGTTCTTGAATTCTTTGAATTTGTCAAAGCATTCCGATTTGTGTTTCATTAGATACACATATCCATATCTACTAAGGTCGTCAGTAAATGTAACGAAGTAAGAATAACCACCTCTAGCTACAGTGCTAATTAGACCACACACATCGGAGTGTATGAGGCCCAATAAGTCACTCGCTCTTTCACCGTGACTGGTGAATGGAGCCTTTGTCATTTTACCAAGTAAACAAGATTTACATACATGATATGACTGGAAGTCAAATGAATCAAGTACACCTGAGCGATGTAACTTAGATATGCGTTTCTCGTTAATGTGGCCCAAACGACAATGCCATAGGTACGCAAGATTCAAACTGTTAGGTTTGTTTCTCTTAACATTTACGTTATATATTGCGGTATCCATGTCAAGGACATAGAGAGCGTTGGTCATTTTTGCACTTGCATAAAATATATCATTTCAAAAGACAGAAAGAGTTTTGTCTTTTACAACGAATGAAAATCCTGCTTTGACAAGGCAGGATACAGAAATGATGTTTCTGCTCATACTAGGTACAAACAGACAATTATTCAAATGCAATATTAGACCACTAGGTAGAGATAAACTATAGGTTCCGACGGCCAATGCATAGACGAGTGCGCCATTGCCGACTTTTAGTTGTTTCTCTCCCTCCGTCAATTGTCTACATTCATGCAAGTTCTGCATAGAAGTACAGATGTGAGAACCACATCCAGTATCCATCACCCAAGAGGTGATATCAGACATATTGACTTCGATAACGTAAATACCTGAATTTTGGGGCTGACCCTGGTAAAGGTCTCTTAAGCGTTGTATCATAGGACGCACTTCCATGTCCGCGTGGAGCCTTTGGAGCTCCGCGGTCATACTGGCCATAATGATACACTTTACATCTCGCGCATCGTCCTCATACTTCTTGAAGGAAGTGAGTTCGGACGCACGAGCATTAGCATCTGGGGTTTTGGGAGGATCCGTTTCGAGGATGTAGAGTTTCCTCTCATAGTTAAGAACGATTCGGAGGTTCATCTCCCAGTCAAGAAAGTTGGTCCCGGATAACTTGTTGTTTTCCAGGATGTAACGCAGGTTGAAAGGGTTGTTGTTGTTTGCCATCTACAGAAAATTTTGCAAACTAGGTTATCTATCATGTTTAATAATTAATTAGGCCTTTAATTAATTATCTCCCACTATTTTTAACAAATCAATAACCCTCGATATTGATTCGGAGATTTCCGGCGAAACCTCTAGTGGGCCAAGATCCATATTTCATTATCTTGCGTTCCGCTTGGGCGTTACTCCACAAGACAACTATTTAGGTAGGAACATAGTTCCAACTGATGAGCCGGGCTCTCAGCTCTTGGTCTGGTGTTGGGCGAACANCGCGTCGTCCTCATACTTCTTGAAGGAAGTGAGTTCGGACGCACGAGCATTAGCATCAGGGGTCTTGGGAGGATCCGTTTCGAGGATGTAGAGTTTCCTCTCATAGTTAAGAACGATTCGGAGGTTCATCTCCCAGTCAAGAAAGTTGGTCCCGGATAACTTGTTGTTTTCCAGGATGTAACGCAGGTTGAAAGGGTTGTTGTTGTTTGCCATCTACAGAAAATTTTGCAAACTAGGTTATCTATCATGTTTAATAATTAATTAGGCCTTTAATTAATTTTCTCCCACTATTTTTAACAAATCAATAACCCTCGATATTGATTCGGAGATTTCCGACGAAACCTCTAGTGGGCCAAGATCCATATTTCATTATCTTGCATTCCGCTTGGGCGTTACTCCACAAGACAACTATTTAGGTAGGAACATAGTTCCAACTGATGAGCTGGGCTCTCAGCTCCTGGTCTGGTGTTGGGCGAACAATATTACTACAACCAGACCAGGACACCTTTTCACCATACTTGTAATTGGCTGAGGCACGTCTTACAAGCAGACTACTTTGGTTAGGAATAGAGTTCCAATTAAATCATAAAGATCCAACTCCTGGCTGGATGAGTGAGTAAAATCATCCGACTTGTCATTGATGACCCCAACTTACTTCCTCTGAGTCGTCCATCCATTTGACCGAGACTCAGTTAAGTCTAACCCAACGTGCGACAGCGACCACGCTATGGCGGTTCCCGTAATCAGCTTAACATACACCGTACTATGCTCTGCTGAGGCTGAGTACATGACAGTGCACATTAGCTGGATAGGTGCCGGGCGTCAGAAGGCAACAGACTTAATATTCGTGAGGGATTTATAATTTCGATCTCACCTATCGACATGGCTGCGCACATGTCCATTACTAGCGTTCAACATACATTCAACATGCATTCACAAAACGCAGTAAATAAACGTGTAATGATTGTGGCCCCCTAAAAAAAACGATAGCTCCCACTGGCTTCCGGGCACTTGAACTTCGGACTATCTCCATTCTTTTAGATTTCTCCAAACGGTCATCAAATCTTTTCATCTTCTAACCACCACGTGAGAAAAGAATCCTCGGTTGAGGTAAGAGAGAGAAATAGATTTACAACAAGAGTTTAAAAGATAAGGCACGACACGCAGGCCGTATTATAATCAAATAAACTATAGCCACAATTATCCACCATGCATATCATACATCCACACAGGCAATAGAGATATACATACACCGGGTGAACCGCGCTCACCCTAGACAGTTCTAGAAAAATACTACGGCAGTAAATATTTTCTAAAAGTCATAAAATTAAATTAGATGTCCAAATAAATCTAATAAAATTCTATAAAAACCATTTTATGCATTCTGGATATTCTGCCAGCATAAAAAATCCAGAATATTCCAATTGACCAAAATGCCCCTTTTGCAAAATTATTTTCAATAAGGCAATAAAATTTCAAAACAATTTTGCAAAAATCATGAAAATTAAATTTCAACTTCCAATAATTATTTTCAAAATTTATAAACCTGGAAATAAAATTTCCAAAATTTATAAATCATTATTTCCAAAATATATTAGTTAAATCTCAATAAGTTATAAAAGGCCATTTAAATTATTTTCAAAAACATTAAATTATAAAAATTTAATATTTTGGAAAACATTCTTTTTCTTACTGAGATATAACTTTCCAAAATATATATTAGTCATTTATGTAATTAAAATACAAATATATAAGTATATATAATATTTCGGTAATAATACCGAGTACATATATAAATATATATTTATTTAATTACTAACTAATATTATTTTGTACAATATATTTGTAAACAACCTTATTCAACTTAGAAATAATATTTCTAAGTTTAGTAAAGATCTTTTTGAATTTTCCCATATTTACTTTTGGTTTTCACCTAAATAAATACAATAAATTCAAAATAGGAAATAATACATTCAAAAATTACAATATAATTTTATTAATCATAAAATGATGTTTTATGTCCAAATAAAATTATATTTACTATTTCTACAATATATATAAATATATATTTCGAAAAATCAAAATATATGTATTTATATATATATATTACGGGTAGAAATAAAATAAATAAATTTAAAGTTCATTTTCAATGATTTATTTAAGTCCAATACTTACTCCAAGACTAAATAAAATCATTTTACCAATTTTTGAATTTTAATAATTACCAAGTTAAAACTTTGTCTTTTAAAATTTTAAAAGTCAAACTTAAAACTATAGTTTTGTACGTTGGCTCCGATACCACTGAAAGGTAACCATGCAAGGTAACCATGTCGTAGGAAGAGCGTTGAAAGAGCAAACGTAATCGTTCAAGCGTCCGGTCTCCAACTTTGACACACGAACAACGCCGGAGTCTACCACAATCTTTATGCTAGTAAAGATTATAGTACTATAAAATCTAAAGATTAAAATTGGGATAATAATAATCTTGTATATTTCTATAGAAAATATTTCTAGTAATATTTAGAAAATGTTATAGATATTTTCTATACACAAAATGATATTAATGGAACACAAAAGAAATTTTCTCTCACTAGAAAATTATGGCCGAAAACCACACTTACATCTTCAAAGATGACGATCTTCTCATATATCAATTTTTTTTAAAGTGCCGTGCAATCAATGCAAAGAAGAAAAAAAATTCCAAAGTTATTAATCAAACTTTGTCACTAAGCTAAACGTTAAAATTAATAAACTATTAATCAAAGATTGATTTCAATCTTTTAAATCCTTATGGCCGAAAGTTTGATTGTGAGAAGGATTTTCAAAATTCTTCTCCACTCAAATGTTCAAAGTGTATTTTATTTGACACCAAAAATTAATATAAAATTAATTTTAAATCAAATAAAAATACCAATATCATTTTTAAACAAGTATACAAATATAATTTAAATAGTTTATGTCAAAATAATTATTTTCATAATTAAAATGACAAATCAGAATAAAATATTCAACATATAATATATATATATATATATATATATATATATATTAATCAGCACATATATATAATATATATAACCGAATATTTATATATATATTATTATATTCCAAAATATTTTATTTTACAATTTTTTACAAATATACAAATTACTTATTATCTCATTCTTTAATCCTACTCCTTAAATTGTCCAATGTGTGTGACCCGTATAGGCACTTATAAAGCTGGTCACAGTATTGGTTCTGCACCAATACTATAAGCAATAAGCGGTATCTAGCAACACATTATTGCCCCCAGATTATAAGTTAAGATGTTTGCACCGTCAAAACCTTTCCACGACTCAAACTCCGTGTAACTGTATCCCTTTGTCTCAATGTCAAAACTTAATGCAAGGGATTAATAAAATCCAGCTTGTATCCATTAAGTCATTCACTGATTTATCAAGTTTGACTAAGAGGAACAGACGTCATAAAAACATCTCAGCATGGCCATGCAATTTCCTCAATCATAACTTATCAGTGGGCCCCATAAGACATTAATCTCTTTTAAAAAGAGTAGTGACAAATCCTATGTACGTAATCTACGTTTCTGAATACGCGCTGCGGCATACCCAAAACAAAGCCTGTATACCATCCTTATTTCATATGGCTTACACTACTACAAAAAAGACTTTTTAAATCGGTTATTTTGACCCTTTTAAATCAGATTTGAACCGATGCAAAAGCCAGCGATGCAAATGCTTAGGTTACTTTTTGCATCGGTTGTAAAACCGATGCAAAAGCCTCTTCCCAGAAATGGCACCAATTTTGGGAAGAAGCTTTTGAATCGGTTATTTGGTAATAACCGATTTAAAAGCTTTGACATTTGAATCGGTTATTACCAAATAACCGATTCAAATGCCAAAGCTTTTGAATCGGTTATTACCAAATAACCGATTCAAAAGCCCTTTTCCCATTTATGAGAATAGGCTTTTGAATTGGTTATTACCAGATAACCCATGCAAAAAATTAATTTTTTCAAAATGAATTTTTTGTTTGCTCCCGATCCACTACATTTTCAATTTTGCACAGAATTCTGTGCAAAATATACAGATTCAACAACAACAACAATTCAACCCATCAACACAGCAACAACTAACACAAACCAATAACAAATACTAATACATTCACAAAATGCAAATGCCACAAAACAAATTAAACAAAAAAAGTAAACATTTGCATCCACCACTTGTACATCTTAAAAATACCAAGAGTAAAACAACTACTCTTCTAAGTTTTAACAACACAACTAAGAGTCAAACAACTACACTCTACTAACATACATTTAATACTATAAATACAACACAAACTTACACTAGTTCATCGAGAAAACCCCCCGCCCAAAACATATAATTATTTTCATAATTAAAATGACAAATCAAAATAAAATATTCAACATATAATATATATATATATATATATATATATATATAAATCAGCACATATATATAATATATATAACCGAATATTTATATATATATTATTATATTCCAAAATATTTTATTTTACAATTTTTTACAAATATACAAATTACTTATTATCTCATTCTTTAATCCTACTCCTTAAATTGTCCAATGTGTGTGACCCGTATAGGCACTTATAAAGCTGGCCACAGTATTGGCTCTGCACCAATACTATAAGCAATAAGCGGTATCTAGCAACGCATTATTGCCCCCAGATTATAAGTTAAGATGTTTGCACCGTCAAAACCTTTCCACNCATTAAGTCATTCACTGATTTATCAAGTTTGACTAATAGGAACAGACGTCATAAAAACATCTCAGCATGGCCATGCAATTTCCTCAATCATAACTTATCAGTGGGCCCCATAAGACATTAATCTCTTTTAAAAAGAGTAGTGACAAATCCTATGTACGTAATCTACGTTTCTGAATACGCGCTGCGGCATACCCAAAACAAAGCCTGTATACCATCCTTATTTCATATGGCTTAATTAGGACAATGCATCAAATTATGCGGGTTCACATATGCAGAAAACATAATACTTCAAGTCGAAGGATAGTTACACCCGTGATCGCGCTAAAGACGCTTAGAGCATGAACTAAAAGTTCAAGCAACATCTTTAGGATGGGTCAGTCCGGCATCCTATTATCTCCAGATAATATCTGCCCATGTGCGGATGCGAACACGCTGTCATTGACTATGAGACTAAGTCAAACATCCAACACACACTAGTCTCACATGCATTAACGATATCCTACTCTCGTTAATACTCGACTATGGACATTTAGATAAATATTTATTTCAAGATGTTAGTCTCATCAGCAGAGAAACACTATCAGATAAACATCTTTAAATATAAATCTAGGAATATAATATTTCTTTACATTAGCATGAGATGTGTAAACATATTATATCTG